AGGATTGCCAACAGACCTGCTTACGGTCACACTGTAAGGTACCTTAAACTAACAGTTGCTGGAATGTGGAGCTTATTTTCATGTGGGTGGTCTGAAAGGAAAATGGTGATGTTTCCTTTTCTGTACCAATCTAACATTCAGTTGACTTATATCTAATAGCCAAATGCACGGGATGGGGTGGGAGGGGGATCTCAAAAAAATTGGGTCAGCAATAGCTACAATCCATAGTCCTGCAAGTCCTGGAGAAACCCTAGGTTTGCTAAAAAAAAAAATATCTGTTACGTTTAAAAAAACACAGCAGTGGGGGGTAAGCACTCACCCCTCAAAAGGGATACGTCTGGGCACACACAGACTTTGCAACAGAACAAAATGGACTTTTGGGTGGCAGACTGGACTGCTGTAGCAATTTGAAGCGGTGCCTGACATAGCGCCGATGGCCACAGACAGGAAAAGGATGGAGGTCGGGCGAGGGGTAAGAAAGTGGAGCTGGGGTGGAGGCACAGGGAGAAAGGAAGGGGCTGGACAATGGATCTGGAGCAGATGATCATTTCTCTTCTCTCACTCATGACTATTAGCTAGGTTTGCCAACTTCAGAAACCCCTGGGGATTTTGGGGCAGAGCCTGGGGAGCACAGGGTTTGGGGAGGGACAGGATTTCAACAGGGCATGGTGCTACAGAGTCCACCCTCCAACGTCACCATTTTATCCAGGGGACCTGATCTCCGTCACCAGGAGATCAGTTGCAATTCTGGGGCATCTCTAGGCCCAACCTGGAGGTTGGCAACCTTACTGTTAGCAGATCTCAAAAGATGCTTTCTAGACTGGTATGTGGAAAAGCCTTTCCCGGATTCATTGCTGGAGACCTCTCCCCAGGGCTATTTTTGGGCAGGAACGCACAGGAATGGAGTTCCAGCTGGCTTCTGAGTTGGCCACACCCAGCAGGAACTCATTAGCATAATAGGCCACACCTAACAGCAGAAACTCATTAGGATTGGCTACAGTAGGCGTGTGTGGCCTAACATGCAAAGGAGTCCCTGCTATAAAAAAAAGGCCCTGGGTTTTGACAACAAACAAGGTAAACAGAATAAGAAGCAAAAGGTGGGTGTGGCTGGATGACCACACTTCTGGCAACACGGGGCTGCAGCCTAATAGGCTAATGAGCTGTGGTGTCAGGGTGTGGCCTAATATGCTAATGAGTTTTGGCTGTTGGGTGTGGCCTATTATGCTAATGAGTTTCTGCTGGGCTTTTTCTACAAAAGAAGCCCTGCCTCTCCCCATCCCCCAAATCCACTCCAGAATCCAAGGCATGGGGGCCAAGGGCTCTGAAGCATCAGACCTCCCCACAAAGAGAATCAGACTAATGTAAATCCATGCTTGTTGCCTTAGTAATAACAGCATCACAACTATAGATAATGTTATGTCTGTTAACAGGTGGGGAAAGCCTGTATTTCATCTGTGACTGGAAACAAAGCAATTCTTCGTTTCCCCCCTGCAGACTCAAAAAAACCCATTCCACTTACACAGGTCTCTGGGCAATTCTTTTAACGGGCTGGTCACCCTGGAACCAATCGCATTGTTTCCTGACATCTGGAGACAGGTAGAAGGCATTTTCACCTGAAAACAGAAGGGTTTTTGTTTTTAAACGGTTTTTTTTCCAAAACATGTTACAGTGATACTAATGATAATAAAAATTGTGTGGTAAGCCTGAGAGATTTCGTATTTCTTACAGCTGTGGCTAACCTTCGTACTCTCCCTACCCCAGCAGATAGGATTTTGGGCACCACTGGCACTGACCACGTAGGTTGCTTCTGCTGTGGCATGTAGGGGCTGAGTGGGCATTTCAGGGGCTCCTCACTAAGCTCATCAGCAGTGACATCTCTGCAGTAACTCATCTCCAGAACTTAAAAACCTCTTCACTCAGTGTTGTGTATTGAGCCTGAGTAATCCCTGAAATAGTACCAGGATCTGGTTGAACTTGTTTTGCTGGTGTGCAAAAGGAAGAAAGAAAGAATTCCAATCAAATAATGAGTACAAAGAGCAGAGAATTTTCAGTTTCCATCTCCAAGAGAGAAACTGCTGACAGTTGCAGGGATTAGGCATTTAAAGGCTGTGAGCCTAAATACACACTGTTTGTGTTTACACAGATGGATTTAGGACCACAAGTTTGACAACAATTACAAGGACAGAATCCCTGGAACCCTTTTAGGAACTTTCACCTTGTTCTTGGATTCTAGGATCACAGCATCAACATTTGTAGGCAGGCTGGTTGTTTTCTTTAATCCAAACACCAACTTTAAGCACTGAGTTTACAGATCCACGGGTGCCAGGCATGCGAAACAGTGTTCCCTCCAAGCTGAGTTAGTGTGAGCTGGCTCACAGTTTTTTAGCCTCCAGCTCACACCCATTTTGTCTTAGCCAAGATGCAGCAGCCAAATCGCTGGCTCACAACTTTAATGCCAGTGGCTCACAAAGTAGAATTTTTGCTCACAAGACTCCACAGCCTAGAGGGAGCAGCGCTAAACAATCCAGGTGGTTGAGCATTCGCCCTCAAGCAGATTGATACAAGTGCACAATACAAATGTGACAAACAAAGGGGTCTTTCTTCCCCCTTAATCCAAAGAACTTTCTATTGGTTTGGGGCATTGACTCGTCTCCTACCTGGTTTGGTGCTTGTCCCGCTGTCGGGACTCCCAGCATCCCCACGCCGCTCGCAGCATCCCCTGCGCCGCCTGCAGCATCCCCCCTTTTGTCCTCCGCTGCTTAGCTGGGGCCCCGGGGGGGGGGGCAAGGGTGAGCTGCCGAAGATGACCGGCTCGGCCGGGAGGACACTGCCGCCAGCCCACACGCTCTCCCTGGGTGGCTGCTGCAACGGAACTGACAGGAGCACACCCACCTGCGCCGAAATGGCCCACCTACACACGGCCCACCTACGCATCCGGGCTCGGTGGCCCGAACGGAGACGCCCAACAGCGCCCAGCCTCAACCCGGAAGGAGTAGCAGCCCCTCCTCCTCTTCGGTTATGTAGGGGGGCGGGGCTGGGAGGCAGGGAGGGAGGAGGAAGCGCAGGGAACACTGGGGAAGAAGGACTAAAAGCAGGGCAGCAACAGGGGGACGGGGATGACGACCTGGACTGGATAAGGCTACCCCCTCCCCCCGAGAGAATCGGAAAGCCAGCCAGCCAGTAGGAGCGGGTTGGCAGAAACAGTATGTCTTTTCAGTGTGGTGGGAGTTTCCTTGAGGTGCCATTGCTTGATGCAGAGCAAGCTGATTTTCTGGACACCATTCTGCTCTCCTGGACTATTTCTAAATCAAAACAAGAAGTGTTGTAAGTCTCCCGCACTCCGTCACCCAAAGGAGACTAAATGCGACGTAATGTTGATCCAAACCTCCGGAGGAGGGATTTGCTGACCCTGTGGCTTATTTAGGGAACCCAGCAGATCTTTTTTGGAAGTTTCAATGTGGAATTCGGACGCTGGGTCCTGCTCATGACCAAGCTAGGAAAGGACCGGGCGTACCCAGCAAATGCTGGCCTCACTGTTCCATGCTCCACACCCATCAGTATCATAAGACATAAGAAGAGCCCTGCTGGATCTAACCAGTAGTCCATCTAGTCCAGCATCCTGTCTCACAGGCCTGTAGCTACGGTAGGGCCTCCTGAAACCCGCCCCCCCCGACTTCCTCCCAAGGCCCCACAACTTTTGGGAAGAAGCAGGGGGAGGCTGCACATGGCTGTACTCCAAGCCATGGATTCATAGCTTGGAGTGCAGGCGCCCGGCCCCTTAAATACTTTGAGGGAGAAGCGGGGGGAGGCTGCAAATTTCAGTGCCCCCTGTCTTTTTAAAAGCCCCCCCCCCATTTAAAAAAATCCTGGGTACAGGCCTGCTATTTCACACAATGGCCAACCATGAAGATAGACTCAGGTGGGGTAGCCATGCTGGTCTGAAACAACAGAAAACAAAGTTTGAGTCCAGTGACACCTTTAAGACCAACAACGTTTAGTTCTGGGTATAAGCTTCCATGTGCATGCAGAATTAAACTTTGTTGGTCTTAAAGGTGCCCCTGGACTCAAACTTCGTCCTAGTGACCAACCAGTTTTTCGCAGGGCACAGAGCCTGAGGCCTTCCCCCGATGTTGCCTCCAGGCACTGGAATTCAGAAGCTGACTGCCTCTGAAAGTGGAGGTTCTCTTTAGTCCCCTTGAACGGCTGACTTCCTCCCCGTACTTACTGCTGATGAAAGATGGCAAGAGATTTCCAAAGCGCAGCAGAGGCTCTTCGTGAAACTCTGATGGCTTGTCTGCGTATTTGAAGAAGACGTCGTTGGGCTCGCTGGCCAAGCTGTAGATGCTCCGGATGTTCACCTGCCTGCCAGTGCTGAGGATGACAAAGAAGTACCCTTTGCATTTAGCTTCCACTACCACTTTCTGAAGACGCTCCAGCTCCTGGCCGTTCACCTCTCCTGTTATCATCAACACAATGACTTTGAGGTCCCGGGGATTAGGCGCCTGCTCAAAAATGAGCCTTATGGTGTGTTCAATGGCGCTCGCCACAGCCCTGGTGCCCTGCAGTTGCACCATCTGGTTCCCAATGAAATCCATCAGCTTGTCTTTGGAGCTGTAATCTGTCAGGGACACCTCGACTCTGACAGGGGATGCGCTTGAATTGGACGCGTATTCATATGGAGCGTGCTGGACGACGGCGACCCGGGCGTGGTGCAGGGATGCCTTCGGGTCGGAGCTCGTCTCCAGTTGGCTGACTACGTAGGCGATGTACTTCTTCATCTCTCTGAACTGCAGAGGAGTGGTGCTCTCCGAACTGTCCAGGATGAAAGCCATGTCGATGTCAACATCCGTCACAGCTGCTCGCCTGTCTCTGCCAAAGGCAGGCCTTGCTGCGCCGCAGCTGGGGTCAGGATCGCATACATCTAGAAGAGGAAGCATATCAAAGTTCTGTTAGGAATATGCGCAACTACTATCCTTCAGTGCGATCGTGGAAAGAGGAAAAGGTATCTACACACAGGTGGCGCCCCAAGTGGCACAGGATGTGATATTAGGTGACTTCTGCTGAAAAGCAGCATTTTTATCTAGTCTTTGAAAGTACAGGTGCAAAAACTCCCTGAAAAAGTGGGTACAGTGCGGACTAAGGATTTACACCTAACTAGCCCAAGGAGCCCCCCATACATCACCACTACTGGAGCCACGGCACTGTTACTTAACTCTGGAAGTTTTAACGACTTTGGGTTACGGCTGAATGTTTTCCTGGATCTGTAAGCCCTTTGCAGGCGCCACTGTGAATGCTGGGTATTTAAGGGCAGAAATATATACACAAAATAAAACTGTAAAAGCACTGATGGGAATGGGGGGGGGGAGGAGATTGGATTTATACTCCACCTTTCACTACCCAAGGGAGTATCAGAGCGGCTTACAAACTCCTTTCCCTTCCCCTCCCCATAACAGACACCCTGTGAGGTACGTGGGGCTGAGAGAGCTCTGACAGAAACTGCTCTTTTTCAAGAACAGCTGTGCCAGAACTATGGCTTGCCCAAGGTCATCCAGCCAGGTGCAAGTGGAGGAGTGGGGAATCAAACCCGGTTCTCCCAGATTAGAGTCTGCGCACTTAACCACTACACCAAATTGGATGATTCCCATTACATATGAGATTTTACACCTGTGCTTTCAAGATGAAGAGGAGGAGGAGGAGATTGGATTTATACCCTACCCTTCACTAACCGAAGATGTGTCAGAGCGGCTTACAATATCTTTTCCCTTTCTCTCCCCACAACAGACACTCTGTGAGGTAGGTGGGGCTGAGAGAGCTCTCTCAAGAACTGCCCTTGAGAGAACAGCTCTGAGAGACCGTGTGACTGACCCAAGGTCACACCAGCAGCTGCATGTGGAGGAGTGGGAAATCAAACCCGGTTCCCTCAGATTAGAGTCTGCGCTCTTAACCACTACACCAAACTGGCTCTGATCGGCAACTGATGGCCCTCAAATGTGTCATCTGTTCAGGGGCCTGAGACCCCTTATTGTCTCACAATAAGGAGGAGTTTCCAGCAATAAACAGAACACTCCTGCCATGGCAACAAATATGATACGTGACGGAGCAGTTTTTGAACAGCTTCAGCTTCTCACAGATACCTTTGCTCCTCACACAAAGGCCCACAGACATAAGCTAATCACAGTGGATGGGCTTTCAGAGTTCCTGTGCAAGATTACAGCTAATGGTCCCGCCCTGGGCCTAGGAAGTCTGACTCCAGTCCCACCATAGAAGGGAATGGGGTTCGTGCTGTGGTGGCAAAGGTAGAGTTGCAGAGGAATGTGGCTCAAAAATGATGGTCACAGTCACTGAACAGACCGCAAAAAGAAGAAAGAAACCGTGAGGTAACTGCGCTAGATAATTTTTCAATAATAATCACAAAATTGTACAAAAAAGTGTGCAGAAAATTATATAAATATACAAGACAATAGAAAATGATGTGTTTGACGATGGTCTCCAGAATGTTCTATCGTTTCGATACTGTTCTTCTTCCGAGAGTGAATGAAAACATACAGCGACTCTTGGTCTGTCTTTTCAACTAGTAGGTATCAAAAATCCATAATATTCACCGATCTATCACGACTTAATTGCAAGAATTTCTCTGACTGAATGTTCCTGGGGCAAGGTGCTTGTATAATGCCTTTCATTCACTCTCGGAAGAAGAACAGTATCGAAACGATAGAACATTCCGGAGACCATCGTCAAACACATCATTTTCTATTGTCTTGTATATTTATATAATTTTCTGCACACTTTTTTGTACAATTTTGTGATTATTATTGAAAAATTATCTAGCGCAGTTACCTCACAGTTTCTTTCTTCTTTTTGCGGAGAGTTGCAGAGGAGACAGGCTCCTAGGGTCACTCTGCAGAGTGGCTCCCAAGGGGTTGAAGAAAAGAATCAGGCCTTTCCTCTGCCCAATTTGTTAAGGGTTAGAGGGGTAAAAAACTCTGTGTACCATGTCGTTAAAGCAGACATACAATTTTGATTGTAAATCCAGATTACACTTATACAACAACAGAAGCGGTTCACAGATTTATAGGGGAAATAAGTCAAACATCTTACCCAGGCAAATATGGCAGGTTATTACACTCCTAATAGTTTGGTTCACTTGAGCTGGACCTCCAGAAAACGTGATCACCTGGCCTCCTATAGAGTTGTTGGACTGGTTTTGACAAAAGGGGAAAATACCACAATATGATGTTATTATTCAATGGAGGCAGTTCACAAGTAGCAGTGTTCGGCGCCTATAAACATCGTGTTTATGGATTTTGGATGCCCACAGACTAAATGGGAGACGGTAGAGAGAGCAGAAAACCAGATGGTAAGTTTCCCTGTGCTCTTTTCCAACTTGCAATGAGTCTGCTTTTCTGCCTACTAAACCTTTAGGTGGGACCGGAGGGGAAGTTGTGAGGATAAAACACATGCCACTCTGAGCTCCTTGGAGAATACAAATGTATGTGAGAGACAGAGAGACCTCAATCACGCTTTTCATAGTCTATGAAGATGACAACACAACTCAGCGCCTCAGGACACAATCCTAAGAGCACTTTCCAGGGTATAAGCTCCACTGAATAAAATGGGACTTACTTCTGGCCAGACTTGCTTAGGATTGTTCCCCATAAAGAGTAAATAAGAAAACAGCCTTCAAGACAAGTTACACAGGAAACATGGCTGCAACTCCGTTTGCTAAGACCCTGCTTAAATCAAGCGTCAAACGAAAAACAAATGGGAAGATCCGAACCTGCAGCGCACTCCGAAGGATCGGGTCATCTCTGCTCGTGAGGAAGACAGGCACGACCCCCGCGTCGTAGAGCTTCAGCATGGCCTCATTGAGTTGCGGAGATCGTCTTGTGGGTCCATTGCTGAAGAAGACCGCCACCTTCCTCATGAGGAAGCCACTGCGTGCCCGTTTGAAAGTATTCCTGGCGACGAAGGACATGGCCGTCTCCAGGCTTCGCTGCTTGGTTGTCTGTATGGCTCGGAGGGCCTCGATCTGGTTCAGGAGACGGGCCTTCTTGCGGGAGTCAGCAAAACGCATCTCTGTGGTGACCTCATTGTTATACGTAACCAAAGCAACACGGGCACCGCGAGGGCAGTTGCTCTCGGCAATGGTGAGGTCATTAACGATCGCCAGAACTGCTTGCCTCATTCTGTTGAAAATGTCCGCAGTTACGCCAGAAGAAGTATCTATAGCAAAGGCCAATTCTGTTGGATAAATCGGGCATTCCTTCGGGCCTGCAGGTAGTGGGTATATTAAAAAAGAAGAAAAGATCAAACGTTTTTGATTCTTAACATGCCAAAGGTGAAAGTCCACAACTGTGATAAACCAGCATGTGTCCTTTGAAGGGGACCGCAAACAGAAAGAAAGAAGCCAGACCTGGAGCGGTTGGCTCTGGACTCACCATAGCAGCAAGCTGTGAACGACAACAAAAGAGAAGGGAAGAAAAATCAATTACTTCACAGTCTACTCAGAAAGCGAGCCTCACAAACACCAGAAACAAACAAACAATTTTGGGGGGAAAGGACTTACGGCATTTATCTTTGATGTTGCGCACAAGGGCACATTGCTGTAAGAAAAAAGAGAGGAAGAAAATTAAAAAAATAACCCCTAATACAAAGAAAGGCAAACCGTTTGGTACAGTAAATGAATAGTTGACTTACGTCTCTTGATTCTCCTCTGTCTCCCTTATGTCCCTGAAAGCAAAGATTTTTTAAAAAAGAAGTTGGGTTATAGGATGCGAGTTTAAGAGACTTAGATTTACACAAACTAGACGAGCTCCAGCCTCTCTTACGGGACATATGGGGCAGGAAAGCTTTGGCTGGCATCTCTGGGCACCCAAAAATATAGAAGCTGTAATGATGTACAAAACGCTTATAATCACACAATAATGATACAAAAATAAACAGTCAAATTGAAAAAATATTAATAATATTGAAAAATATAATAATTCAAAAATAATACATCGTTACCGCTTCTATATTTTTCATTATTGTATCGGGCTTTTTTTGTAGAAAAAGTCCAGCAGGAACGGCTTGTTTTGTTGCAGGAACTCCTTTGCATGTTAGGCCACACACCCCTAATGTAGCCAATCCTAATGAGTTTCTGCTGTTGGGTGTGGCCTGTTATGCTAATGAGTTCCTGCTGGGTGTGGCCAACTTGGGAGCCAGCCGGAACTCCGTTCCTGTGCGTTCCTGCCCAAAAATAGCCCTGGTGAGATTATAAGCATTTTGTACATCATTACAGCTTCTATATTTTTGCTTTTCTACACTAGCTGTAACCCCTCAGTTTTGTTAGATCTCCGGGCACCCAGCAGAAAGTAGTGGAGGCAAGGCACCACAGAAGATGATGGAGTATAGAAAACATTGTGCAGAAACAAGAATGGAGACTTCCAGACTAATCCGCTGCCACGTTTACCCTCAAGCAAGTACCACCAAATCCACTGGGGCTCCTCACTCACTCTCAGTGTTACCGAGCTTAACAAAATTAGAGGAATGAGCCCCCAGAGGTGACCAGGGCCCTGTGGGACCTTTTACAGTTCCGCAGGGCCTGCAAAACAGAGCTCTTCTGCCAGGCTTTTGGCGCTGCCACCACCACTATTAGTGGTGTTAATAATAACAACAATTGACAACCACAACGGAAGCCCTGAGCCGCTGATCCTGGCGTCTACTGCCCATCTTACCCTCCCCTAACTGAAGCAGACCAATAGAATTAAAGCCGAACCTGGAATTTGCTAACACTTTAACACCATGTTTGATTTTTAACATTGTTTTTATAGAAGAAGAAGAAGAGGAGGAGGAGGAGGAGGAGGAGATTGGATTTATACCCCGCCCTTCACTTGGAGTCTCAGAGCGGCTTACAAACTCCTTATGAGTTTCTGCTGTTGGGTGTGGTCTATTATGTTGATGAGTTCCTGCTGGACTTTTTCTACAAAAAGAGCCCTGAATAGGATCACAGGGCCGTGGCATGCAGGAAACATGGGGTTCAGGAAATATATAGGGTATCTAACAAAGGAAGCTTTGACTCTCAAAAGCTTCTACCCCGAAAATCTTGTAAGTCTCCCAGATGCTACTGGGCTAGAATCTACGACGTATAGGGTGAGATGTATGTATGTATTTATTTATTTATTTATCTATTTATTATTTCTATTTATACCCCGCCTTGCCTGACAAGCAGACAAGCAGAATTATATAAAGTTATATGTAATCAAGAAATTTAGTGGCCATTCACCATATTTTTATTTATTTATAAATAAATAAAAATATGGTGAATGGCCACTAAATTTCTTGATTACATATAACTTTATATAATTCTGCTTGTCTGCTTGTCAGGCAAGGCGGGGTATAAATAGAAATAATAAATAGATAAATAAATAAATAAATACATACATACATCTCACCCTATACGTCGTAGATTCTAGCCCAGTAGCATCTGGGAGACTTACAAGATTTTCGGGGTAGAAGCTTTTGAGAGTCAAAGCTTCCTTTGTTAGATACCCTATATATTTCCTGAACCCCATGTTTCCTGCATGCCACGGCCCTGTGATCCTATTCAGGGCTCTTTTTGTAGAAAAAGTCCAGCAGGAACTCATCAACATAATAGACCACACCCAACAGCAGAAACTCATAAGGCCACACCCCTTACAACACAGCTCATTAGCATATTATGCCACACCCCCATGTTACCAGAAGTGTAGTCATCCAGCCACACACCCCTTTTGCTTCTTATTCTGTTTACCCTGTTTGTTGTCAAACCAGGGCTTTTCTTGTAGCAGGAACTCCTTTGCATGTTAGGCCACACACCCCTAACGTAGCCAATCCTAATGAGTTTCTGCTGTTGGGTGTGGCCTATTATGCTAATGAGCTCCTGCTGGGCGTGGCCAACACAGGAGCCAGCCGGAACTCCGTTCCTGCCCCAAAATAGCCCTGTATTTAATCATTCTTCTTCTCATTATCTCATACATGAATGTCTGCCTAGTAATCAGGCTCAATGGCTGGGGAGGGGAGGGTAATTTGGCCTGGGTTTGAAGCTCAAAGGGGACCTCAAACTGAAAAGCTTGTTAATTTTTTTGGCATTTGCTATGTTCCACAGCTCGTTCTAGTGGCCCGGACCTCCAAGACGGCCTGCCAGAGAGGGTCCCACCTTGTGCATCTGACAAATTGGGCTCTAATCCATGGAAGTTTATGCTGGAAGACAATTGTGTTAGTCTTTTAGCCTCCCGTTTATTCTTGCTTCGACGGACTCACTCTTCAGAGAGCAATAATTCCAAAATAAGTTCCCAAATAAAATAAAATAAAAGAAGGAAGAGTACACCACAGTATTGCTGCTTAGGTTTCGCTGACACGTCTCCTTAGTGGTGGTGGTGGGAAATGAGAGAAGCGCTGATCAGCCTTTTTGTATGCTGTTTTAAAAAGTGTCCCCCCCCCGCGTTTTTACTTTATTGAGATATTCCACCCAGTCCCAGTCAAGCATCGGTTGCATGATACCGAAACCCCATCAGGGTTGCCAACCTCCAGGTGGCACCTGGAGATCTCCCGCTACTACAATTGATCTCTAGATGACCAAGATTAGTTCCCCTGGAGGAAATGGCCGCTCTGAAAGGAGAACTCTGTGGCATTACGCACTGCTGAGGCCCCTCCCCTCCCCAAACCCAGCCCTCCCCAAACTCCACTCCCACAAATCTCCAGGTGTCTCCCAAACCAGAGCTGACAACCCTCGTCCCCATGCAGGGAAGGGAGCGCTGACGAGGGATCACAACTTTTTATTTATTTGCATGAATAGACGGATGCCTGCATCCACAATCCCAAGGGTTTTCCTTTTTTCTTTTAAATCAGAATTTGCAACTGTGACAAGTGTACGTGTGATTTGCACTTGTGTTATGGTCAAAATGAACTGAAGCAAATAAATACGGATTAAGGCCCTTGGCTGGCCGGCCACCCACCCGTCCGTCCGTCCATCCATCTTGGATGCACGTTTTACTAAGCGATGTACAGAGTAAAAGTACATCTATATTTTGTCTTGTGCTTTCCACATCCACAGGCAAGAGTTGATTCACTCACTGCTTCATCACTTCTGGAATCTTTCTTTGTGTGTGCATATGTATATGCATACACAAACACACACAAAAGGATTCCAGGACAGAGACAGAGAGGGACAGAAGAGGAAGGAAGGAAGGAAGGAAGGAAGGAAGGAAGGAAGGAAGGAAGGAAGGAAGGAAGGAAGGAAGGAAGGAAGGAAGGAAGGAAGGAAGGAATATTTTCAAATTCTACAAGCCGAGTCTGGAATATTCAGAGTTAGTCAAGGTGAATTAGAAGGTGAAGAGGGACTGGAAGGCAACACACAATCTTAACTCAACTAAGTGTGAAAAAGAAGTTCATAAGCATTTGGGCAGCTGCACTGATGCTCTCTTGCTGGCCCAGTAACTCGTATTACAAACAGACTTACAGCTGGTCCTCCATATCCTCTTTCTCCTTTTTGACCTCGTATGCCAGGCTCTCCTGGGGTTCCCTAAACAGAGGGGGAAGAGTAAATGCATTTAATTCATGTTGTACACATCTACTCCCATAAATTAATGGTCCCCGTTTGGTTATCTTTACACAGAGAGGTTTCAAACAATGCAATTATCCAAACAGACACGAGTAGAATCTGATCTGCGCTCTTTTTGCATCCTCTTTTGCTTTCACACCATAAAGTAAAATTGGGGCCAAGTGTAAATTGTACGGATTCTTGTTTGTGAATGTTATGAAGGTTCCCGGCTATGCAGCCAATAGGTTTGGATATAAACATCTCTGGGCAGGAAACTGGCCATTAGCAATTTTAGAATAGTTTACTAGAGCTCTTGCACAAGAGGGGGGACAAATTGGGGGGGGGCAATTTTAGTTTCACTTTTCTTTCATAGTAGCAGAAGATATACAACCATCAGCAGAAAACACATCCACCCTCCTGCAGATGAATGCCACAGCATCTAGGTAGGTGGATGCAAAGTTCGGGTTTTGAATTTGCCGGTTTGGGTTACTAGTAGGGATGGGCACGACCCGAGAAATGAACTGTGGTTCAAGCATGAGCCAGGCCGATTTATGGTTCGTTTCAAACTGGTTTGTTTGGTCACATCATCCCCCAATCCAAAAACGAACCGCCTTTTTTTCCGTGGAGATTAGTTTGGTTCGTTCAAGCAGTTGGTTCTCCAGACAGCCTGGAGCCGATTCAATCAATTCCTAGGCAACACTGGGGGTGGACTTTTCAGAGGCCTAGAAACACCCACAGCAGTTGTCCATAGCTTGACTGGCAGCTCTGGGAGCCAACCATGGAGCTTCCATTCTGCTCCATGGCAGCAGGTTGTGTGTGTGTCTGTGTGCCCATCCCTAGTTGCTAGAGAATCAGTTCCCAAGGCATAAGTGGAACTTGCTCCCTGACTGTCTGAGCTTGAAAGGGGATTTGTTTCATAGAGGAGAAGTCCATCATCAGCAATTTGCCGCAGTGTCTAAAGGGAGCCTTCATATACAGAGGCAGCAAACTTCTGAATACCAGCAGCTAGGGGGCAACATCAGGGGAAGGTCTTGGCCTCTCTGCCCTGTTTGTTGGCCCTCTAGGGATGGCTGGCCACCAAACCAGCAGGGCTTTGCTTATGTTCTTATGACCATCACGGGCTCTTTCAAATCAACAAATATTTAAAATAGGCGGTCATCATACGTTCATAATATGGTGTCAATACAAAGGGGAACACGAAAACTCACGCAAATGTATGCCAATAATCCTGTTGTGGAAGCACATCTTCAGCTGATTTCACTATGTGAGCCACAGACAATTCCGGCCCAGCAATTATGTTACAAACAGATATGGAGGTAATAATGACAGTTCTTCTACCACTGTTGTGCAATGCCTGGGAGACTGCAGGCCAGATTTCTCTTTAAGTTCCAATATGTAAGTAAATGATATGTAGAGCAAAGGAAATGACTTCCCCCCCGACTAGAGCCCTGTATATATGAATGAAGCTACATTACCCTGTAGCCTCTGTTTCCTTTGGGGCCAGAATCGCCAATACCACCTCGGTCTCCAGGCGCCCCCTGTCGAGAAAACAGCAAAGGGTTAACTCTCCGGATGAGACATCAAACAGGCATTCTTGCACTTTTGCAGGCTTCTGATTGGTTTAGGTACCTTTGGCCCCGGGTATCCTGGAAACCCTGGTTCTCCCTGTGGAAATAAGCAAAAAGACAAGAGATTGCTGCCTTGAAATCAGTAACAGCAAGAAAGTTGCAAGTGAGGCAAAGCTGCTTCAAGTCACTTCGCCTTTCAACCTGGGCTTCTGCAGACATGCGGTGATTAGCGTCACACTTCATACTCCAGTAAATATTTTTTTTACAGGCCACGTGTGCAGATATCCTAGCCAAATATATTTTCATTCTTCACCCGGCTCAAGAATCTTGCTTGGTTTATGACTCACTATGGAATACCTTTTTCTTACCATCCGTGCCATTTGGCAGTTCAAAGCCCGTAAAGCATATCCGTGGGTCACTCCCTCAGGGCTCTAGTCGGGGGGGAGCTCTCAGGTACGGAGCTCCGGAAGAGAACCTCTAGGGGGCGGGGCGGTCACGTGGTGAAGCCCCGCCCCCTTCTTTACCCCGCCCTCTGCTTCGATCCTCATTCCGTTTGGGAATGAGGATGAAGCAGGAGGGTAAGTAGCCGGGCCTTCTGACACACTTCCGGTGATGTCAGGGGGTGTGGCCTTCTGTCACTTCCGGTGATGTCAGGGGGCGTGGCATATGCAAATAAGTTATGCTAATGAGTTATGCTAATGAGCTCCGGCAGCTCTTTTTCTACAACAAGACCCCTGCACTCCCTGCATTCATTATTGTTGCGACTATTGGCACAGCAACATTAGCGTATGCAGCATCGTACAGCCTTTCAAAAGGAAAAGTCCCTGCCCACATAGAATCTAGTCCAACCCCCTGCACAATGCAGGAAATTCACTAATCCCTCCCCCCCCCAAACCCCCAATGACCCTAGCTTCACGGCCAGAAGATAGCAAAAAACAAACAAAAAATCCTCCAAGGTCCCTGGCCAAACTGGCCTGGAGAAAAATTGCTTCCTGACCCCAAAGTGGCGATCAGCCTTTCCCTGGGCGTGTAAAGGGCCACACAACACCTATAATTCTAAAGAGAAACAGGATGGGGGAAGAGAGGCCGTGGCAAGTAATCCACGCAAACCACGGTGCTCCGTGGGCTTAAAGCTTGGTTGCATTTTGGAAGGAGGGCTATGGGGTCAAGCCCAAGGCCTCACTGACAAGCAATGCTCCCTCTAAGCTGGGGAGTCTTGTGAGCAAAAATTCTACTTTGTGAGCTACTGCCACTAAAGTTGTGAGCGAGCGATTTGGCTGCTGCATCAATCAGTTTGATCTGGAGCCCTCCTTCCTGAGTGGAGATGAAAATGTGTGAGCCGGAGGCTAAGAAACGGTGAGCTGGCTCACGCTAACTCAGCTTAGAGGGAACACTGCTGACAAGAGGTCTTTTTGGGTAGGGATCTGAGGGAGAGGAGAAAGGATGGCACCACAGAGGTTCACAGGAGGAGGAGGAGCAGCAGCAAGGGGTGGTGGGCGGGGTCATGTTAGAGAGCAAGAGACCTTCTGTCTCATTGTTCAAGTTCTTGGGCAAAGCTTCCTTGGAGGTCTCGGTTCTCGAGCAGGGGAGGCGCCTGACCTGAGTTTATCGGTGCAGATCCAGAGACTGTACATACCCGTCTGCCTTTAGTTCCTGCCCGGCCTACACCGTCACGTCCATCGTCTCCCTGAAAAATCGAAAAGACATCATGAAGGAATCCGTAATACAATTTCTGTGTAAACTCTGCAAAGAGAGGGGTTGGTCTGAGAGGCTTCGGAATAAGAGACAGCAGAAGAGCCTCAACGGGGACGTCTGTGAAATGGATCACCAGCCCTTTTGGGCTGCCTTTAACTGGAGGGATCGGGTTACTCAGCCTCTGAGAAACTCAGGGCGATTCTGCATTGGCTTTTCCCTCCCATTGTTTTATCAAACCCACCATGGAACAGAAATTCCCCTCTGCATTGCATGCCGCTTTCACTTTATTTGATGACTGGGTTTTATGGTACCCTCTACACTGCATGCCGCTTTCACCTTCTTTGACGACTGGATTTTATGGTACCCTCTACACTGCATGCCGCTTTCACTTTCTTTGATGACTGGATTTTATGGTACCCTCTACACTGCATGCCGCTTTCACTTTCTTTGATGACTGGATTTTATGGTACCCTCTACACTGCATGCCGCTTTCACCTTCTTTGGTCATCGGGTTTTATGGTACCTTCTGCGTAGATTTATGGCTGTTCAGGGGTGACTTCACAGTCAGTACGGCGTTGCCCCCGGGGCATTTGAATGTGGTTTTGAGCTGCACCTTTTCCTCAGTGTTGAGAAAATGCGGAGCGAATGCCAGATGCAGAATTGCCCGAAGCCATGGAGGCATTCAGTTCATTGTAACAGGACAGTTTGAGTTAGAGCCAACCAGCTCAGCACCTTTCTCTGACCTTGTTCTTGCTAAGCCTTACCGTCTCTCCTCGTGGCCCAACAGGACCAGCGGGCCCCTTCGGACCAGGGTCACCAGGCTCACCCTGTAATAATAATAAAAAAAAAACACCATATGCATTTACTGTGTAAGGCCGTATAGCCTAGTGTCCGAGACTGCAGTCTCAATGAAAAGGGGGTCTTTGCTTTTGACTTCTGCCGTGAAGTCTTTTGACGGCCATAGGCAAGCGCCCCCCCCCCCCAGCAACTTTACAGAGTTGTGTAGGGATTATCTAATGTCTGAAGTATTTTAAACATCTTAAAACGTTGTATAAAAAAAACAAGGAACATCTACCACCCAGAAAAACCGTTCCAGAATAGTCTAAAATCTATGTAAAGGTATAGCCTAGTGTCCGAGACTGCAGTCTCAATGAAAAGGGGGTCTTTGCTTTTGACTTCTGCCGTGAACTCTTTTGACGGCCATAGGCAAGCGCCCCCGCCCCCAGCAACTTTACAGAGTTGGTGTG